GCATAAATTAATCGTGTAATCACATTCTGAATTCAGATTTAAATGTCCTGTCCTGCGAGTAACCTGACATCACCTCACCACAGGGATGCTCATTTCAAATTTTGTGAAAAAAAAACAAAACTTTTTAAAATGGTGATCCCAGTGAACAACACTTAAACGCTGCGATCTTAAACATGTGTTAAGTGAATCTCCAATTGCAAAGAGGATATAATTGAACGCATAAGCAACCGGAAATATCTGTTTTCCACTTTCTTTTCAAAATAATTTCTCCGCCGGAGAAACAAAATTTGAAATCAAATTTTAAAAGAAGTCAAAATCATCTAGACTCAAAAAACAAAGTTTGAAATCAATTAGTTGTCAGAGAAACCAAAATCCAACCGCCGAAACAGCGTGAACATAAACAAAGAAGAAACCAAAATTTTACACAGAGGCGAAGCGGAGCTTCGCAATACTTGCGATACAAAATAAAATTCTCAACTCAAAAGATAATGTGTTTCAAACGAAAAGTCAACGCTTAAAGGAATGTTGTTGAAGAAAACGTGAGCTACAAAATGCAATTGTTATAAGAATCAATGACCTAATATAAAAACATAAGAAGAAAGTGGGCTATACAAACTACATTCATCAATAAAAACAAATTTGGTCAAAAAATCGCGATTTACAAGTTCCTAAATTTACTCAAAAACTGTGCTTAAAATCTTGCTTAAAACTGGATATCCTTGAGCAACAAGAAAAAGCCAAAAAAATTATCAAGAGTTTTTGCTATAAATTAGGATCAATATGAAAGGGGAAAAAAGATAAAAGAAAAAAACAATGAAGGCTAAATCTTCATATAAGTTCCACAGAAACCTTTGCAGAAAATCTGAGAAAAAACTCTGAAAACTTTAAGAACTCCAATTACATCAAACTTATTAAATATGAACTTGATACGCAACGTTAATTAAACTGGGTTACAATAAAAGTAACAATAAAAAAGGCAAATGCCCGTAGATGAAAAACAACACGAAAACTTTTTTTTTCTAAAATTTCAGCCATGAAAACTACAATCTTGAAAATCGTGCAACGCTCGCCACACATCATCGTTGCCAAAACAGTCAAGTCAACTATGCAAAATAAACATTGCAAGCATCGCGAATTCTTTTTCTAAAAAAAATTGACATATGAAAATGCCATCAAAATGAACCGATTCCAAATGAAATTGCTCAATCCTAAACACACCAGTAAATTAAAATTAAAACCAACTCTACGCACATTTTTGTTCAAACATAGATAAGAAACATCGCATATAAAAGTAAATGTCAATTTTGTTTTTAATTGCCAGAAAATATATCCTTTTCTGACAGAAAATTTTAGCGTGCACAAAAACCAGGAAACCATGAGATATATTTACCCTCTTTAGAAACAAAAAAATATTGAACAAAAACCTACCAAGCAATTACAGACATAAAAGACCCTGCCAGTAAGCCGACATAAAGTGGGTCGAAATCATTTAATTAGGCCGAAGAAAAAAATCTAATTATATCTCAAAATTTTGCACGATCTAAACAGCACAAAAAATATACGAAAAAAAAACATACGCTGAGACAACTGAAGGAGCAAAAAGCACCTGGAGATAAGAAACCAAGCTGTAACAAAGCCTTATCAGTAATCCTTTCAGCCGAAAAAAAATCAACATAAGACTTACGAAAATTTTAAAGTCCCCTTCACCCTCAAAACACACAAACAATAAAAAAAAATGCAATTGCTCGTCAAATAAAACATCATGAGGCAACTTATCTGATATAATATAGGCCGAAACCTATTAAGCCCAAAACAAACAGGAAAAAACCGAAAAATTGAAAATGATTTAAGACTAAGACGTTATTAAGTCCCCCTCACACTCTAAAAACTGTTTAAGTTTTTAAGTTGGAACGTAGCCCATGCTTTGAAAGTAAACCACTAAAAACCTTGCCAGATAAAAAAACATGGCAAAAACGGAAATAGAACCGACAGCAACTAGGACGAAAACCACAAACACGAAAAAAATCAGAATTTAAAAAAAAGATAATTACAACCTGAAACAGGCTTGAAGTACTTAAGTTTGAATTTTCGAGAAACTGATCATGTCAGAAGATCCTCTAGAAGTAATCCTCTAGAAGTGATCTTGTGGACAAAGTTATTTACGGGAAAAAGAGTCAAGTGCCCAATTTCCACACCCTTGCTTATCGCAAGGGTAAAAAATGGCATTTTAGCTAAAAGATTGATTAATTTTCAGTATAACTTTGTCTGAGAGCCTAACAAGTTTTCGAGTTGCTGTTTATAATGAAAAACTTAGGTGAGGGCCTTTTCGATGAACTTTGAGTGCGAAAAAAACTCTTTTGTGGCTTGACGAAGAACTTTTGGAACCCAGAACACCTCTGATGAGCTTCATTCAAATAAGAGCTCTGCAAAGCCTTGAAAAGAGCATTGTCCTATTTTAGCTCGGTTAAATACCTTCAAGTACTCTTATCCATCTTATCTCAAAACTTCAGCCATGAATCTCGAGTAGCATGACTTCATGATGAATTTTTGATACTGAAAGTACTGTCATGGTGGTTCCAACTTCCACACAGCTTCGCGCCAATTTCGATTCCCTAAAAACATTTAAAAACATAAGAATATGACAAAAAGTTTAAAAATGCGAAAAAATATTTTAAAAAACTAGGTTTACTAATTCAAATTTCTCAATATGTCTTGATAGAAATTCAGTTCAGGCAAAAACTCGAAAAATTTCAATATTAAATTAGCAACGGAACATTTTACGAAGACGCAACAATCTTTTAGCAGACAAGTTGATCCGAAAAAAATATGATTATTATAAAAAAAATTAGGTTCTAAGTCCCACCTGAAACTGCATTGAACAACACTTGCAATTGAAATTACAAGGAAAGTTGCTACCGTCCATGAAAAATTGAGCAGACGAGTTGAGCCAAAAAAAAATCAAATCTTTCAAGTTCCCCCCTGATACTAGAATGAACAACACTTGGACTTGATCTGCAATGAAAGATGCTAAAAGCACGCAACAAAATTCGTGATGTGGAACTAGGCCGACAAAACTTGAGCAGACAAACTTAAACCCGACAATTCAATTTAAACCGAAATTTTTTTTCAGTAGCATACAAACTGATAAGACCTTAGGACGCATAAAACATTTTGAGCTATAAAGTTTTTACGAAATACAAAAGCATTAAAAATTGATCTATTCCTCGAAACTACGCAACATAATTTGACTAAACTGAAATGACAGAACTTTTTAAGCTAAAATAACAGAGCTGAAATACAAAGAGGAGGGCGTTACTCCCATACCAACTGGAAAGGAATCAAGATTTGTAAAAAGTAGAGCCGAAAAAAACTGATGCCATTACAAAATTTTTAGATATGAAGTTTTTACGAAACACATAAAAGCATAAAAATATATTTAATCCTCGAAAATACGTAACAACACTTGACTAAGCTGAAAAAACAGAATTTTCTAAGCTGAAACAATAGAGCTGCAATAACAGAAATAACGCACAAATTACAGAACTTTCATTCATAGAAAAATCTGTTGTAATAAAAAAAACATATGCATTGGAAAACAAGCCCAACAAAACGCACCAGATAATACAGACTGCATTCAAGAAAAGGGAAAATGAGCCGACGGAAACTAGGTCAAAAACTACGATAACGAAACAAGACAACAACCTTTTTAAAGAATTTGGTTTTAACAAAATCTGAAACGAACCTCCCCTAATTAATACCTAAATGATGGTAGTTTTATTTTAAATTTCAAGAAATTGAGCAGTCGTGAAATTTACTATTCCAGATAAAATTGACCTTTTATGAACAAACTTATTTAGGGTGGAAAGTCTAGCACCCGAGTGCAATACCCTTGCTTATCAACAGGGTAACCATGACCGTAACCGTGATTGTTTTTATATTGTTGATAAATTTTTAGATTAGCAAAAATTTTTTGTCTTATGTCGCTTGGCTTCGACTTTTGAAAACGATCGCAATCTTTTTTCTTTCAGGATTGTAAATAATTCTTGCAATTACTCACTTTACTAATTCTAGAGCCGTACAGTATCAGCTACGATAGATTGCTCTGAATATACAGAATAGAACTAAAATTTACATCTAAGACATCAAAATTTTATCAGGCATTCAATGCAGCTTTTGCCAGGTTATCGGGCATGTTATGAGCAGATATGTAATGTGCTTTCAAATTAGACTTGAGCGTGAACTCTTTCTGACACAGAGAACAGGAAACTGACGCAATCAGTCCTTGCATGTGCTTTAAAATTATATGTCTTCGAACATTTTGTTTCTGTAGGCCTTGCAGTCCGCATATTTTGCACAAAAACACTTTTCGTCCTGAATCCAGTGATTGCATTGTAGCTATCATGTCATTTGGATCTTGCTGAAAATCAGGCTGTATCTGGACCTGAGATTTTGGTGTTGCTTTCATTGCACTTAAAACTGGTTCTGATTTTGTCACCTTGCCAACCTTCAGATTTGAAATTTTACCTGCTTTAACTTCCGTTTTCCTTTTAGTTACTTTACCTTCTTTCTCTGCGTTGCCACATTTTTTTGAAGCATCGATATCGGAATTCGTAATTTTCAAATTTCCGCATTTTAGGCCAATCTCCGGATTGTAAATTTCAAAAGCCAAAATTTTGTCATTTGGGAGTATGATATTTTCAACAATGAAATCTTCAAGTTCGATCAAAAAGTCAAGTCCTTCTTTGTTCATTATCTTCGGTACAATTTATTTCAATCTCTTCACGCAGAACTTTTACAAACTTAACTGAAACCTCACTCGTTTTCTCAAATTGGGATTCAAATCAAATTCACTAACTGATCTAAAATATTTGATTAGTTCATTTTGCTTTTCAATTCCTGGATGCAGATGCTTTTCTCACCATCAAAACATTCACTTCGAAATTAAATTTGACATATTTTCAAGAATTAAAATTGAAAATATTAAATAAAATGAAGACTGAAATTCTTAAATTTGTACTGAAAACCCTTTCTATAGTTTACTTACAATACAAACATTAACTTTCGACATAAAATATTTGCACCATATAGCTATTAAACTTAGCACACATAACAACATCAAACATCCGAGAGTTCAAATGTTCCATAAATAAAAGCTTTGGAAGCTAAGCTAAGTATTCAATTATGAGTTAATCACCCGCTGAAAGATAGTCCAAGGCCAACAAAAACTGCTTTCATCCCAGAGCGCAAACTGTCCAGTCAAATTTTTGATCTGAACTACAAGACATGTATTTTTCGCACCTTCATTGGGATTTCGACTGCACTTACTTGCAAAGGCCACATTCCTCCTAGAATGCCAGCCTGAACCGATACTCCAGTGGCGACTGCCAGTTCCGGATCGACCTTCGGAGGACTTGACAAGTCGCGGCCGAAGAACTCTCCAATCACTTCTCTGACTTTTGGGACCCGAGTTGAGCCACCAACTAGCACTATTTCATCAACATCATCTCGGCTCAACGAGACTTCTTCTAAAACTACTTCGATTGGTCTTAGAACTTTCTGGAACAAATCTGCGTTGATTTCGTTGAATATTTCTCTGGTGATATTTAGGTTAACTTTAATTGGTTCCTGCATTTGTACCTGGACATGGCTAGCGGTAGTGAGGTCAATTTTAACTTGATCGGCTAGAAGGCGTATCTTTTGCAGCGTAGTTTGATCAATAGCTGTTAACTGTTGTGTTGCACTGCTAGCACCAAGTGGTTTGTCAGGGTCTGAATTAAGCAGCACAGTTGATGATGACTGTTGCGGTTTGTCTTCTGATATGCTATCTGCTGTTAGGTTAGATTGCGTCATTATATGCGTCATCAGTCGGTGCGTGAAGTCCTGGCCTCCCAGGTAACTGTTTCCGGCGATTGCTGCAGTTAGAAATATACCTCCTTGTCTGTTTAGTAAAGATACATCTAAAGTGCCTCCGCCTAAATCTATCACCATCACCTAAAATATTAAACGTCCATTTTACATAAGCATATTTTATGAAATTAATTTTACCTCTCCATGTTTATCATCAGTTCAAAAATGACAATGAACGCCGATGATAGATTAAAATATCTGGCTCTTCCTGACAATTCCTTACCAGGCCGGATTTGAATCATCTGCCTATCGATCATGATTAGTTAAATGATACCAATATAGCTACATCCATTTGTGAGCAGCCATCTCGTCCCCTCAAAATTGCCTAGTAAAATCTATTCGATTGACAATATGTAGCAAAAGTATCTTGAAAATTTTCATTTCATCGGATCAGATATTTTAGTCTATTGAAACTTGGATTGGCTCGTTCTTAAAATCGCCAGCATTATAAAAATTTGCAATTTTTACGAAAAAAAATCCAGTCGGGTTTTGTTTCTATTCACAACATGTATTTGATTCTCACCATCTGGATTCCCTCCTCCTCGTGGAGTCCGTAGGCCATGGCAGCCGCAGTCGGTTCCTGGATCACTCTCCAGACGTCCAGGCCAGCAATGGCAGCCGCCTTTTTGGTCGCATTTCTCTGGCTGTTGTCGAATTCAGCCGGAACACTGACCACCGCCCTCGTCACTGGTTTCTGTAAGTGGTGTGCCGCAGTGTTCTTCAGATACGAGAGGATCTCTGCTCCCACTTGCTCCGGCGAGAAGAAAAGGGACGAGCCATTGGCCAATACAACCTTCAACAAAACAAAATATTTCAAATCATCAAAATCGCTGACATAATTTGCATTCACAAGTGCTTCACTAAAACAAACAAAAAACTAAATTTCTTGACTTCTTTTAGACCGCAAGAGAAGCAGAAAGAATCTGTAATTTTAAACTAAGAGTCACTCTAGAACAAAACTACTTTTCATAGGTAAAAACAGCATCTGAGCATATCAGGGAAGTCTTTTACCTCAAAAAACGCCGAGTCTCGATGCGAGATGTGTATTTTGAATGGATATCTCTGCTTAATCTGTTCGATCTCTTCAACTGTAGATTGTTCGAAACTCCTGCCAATGAATCTCTTAGCATCGTAGATGAGATTGGCTGACGGAATGAAGGGAGCTATGTTGAGGGCTGCCTTTCCTACAATCACAGACCCGTTCTCTGGAAGTATTGCGATGACACTTGGAATGCACTGGGAGCCCTAGAATCAAATTTTTTTTTTGCACAAATAACATAGAGGCGAAGCGTAGCTTCGAACCACTTGCGATAAATGAATGACTTTAATTGAAATCCAACGGAAAAATTTGAAAAAAAAAATCAAAAAATTGTGGTTGTCAATAAAATTAGCAACAAAAGCCCAAATCATCCGGAAAAAAATTGCCTGCATCATTAGAAACTTAACAAAGACCCTTCGGAATGCTAGAAAGAAACCAAATTTTCAAAAAGTAAAATCAATTCTGCGGATCTAAGCCGACAAAAATAAACAGACCGACAATAATCTAAATAAGCATAAAATTTTCTATTTGCAAAAAAAACGTATCGACTGGAATCGAGCTCCCGGGCTTCATCTTCTTATGTATGTGCGTTGAAGCAACTTGGAAGAAAGCTGAACCTTCAAAAAAAAGTGCTACAGAAACTAAGCCGACAAAAACAAACAGATTGACGATAGCCCGAAAAAGCTCAAGAACTTCAGTTTGCAAAAAAAAACAGGTCCGGCCGGATTCGAACCGCAACCCTTTGTGGTCTCAAGCAGTTGGGTTACCTCTACTTCAAATGGTTGATGGTCGCGCCGGATGGTTGATTGAATTTGAACTAATAATAACCAAGCGGTAACAATGCGACTCTTTTTGCATGGTTTTTTGGTGTACTCAACCTAGCACTTTTTGGCTTGAACTTTTCAGAATTGTGAGACACTAACCGACGCTTGAGTGATAAATTGGGAAATGATGAGTCAGAAAAATTGTCATTAGCCTCAGAAACTAAAATAAGTCCGCACTTTGCGGAATTACTGGCGCATATGTCAAAATATGTGTCTGTTCCAAGACTCAAATGCGAGCTGAGGATATCTTTGTCAAAAGAGAACTCAAAATTCAACCTGCTCGCTTCGACAGCCATTTGCATTGAACAGCAAAAGTTCTGAAACTTGGGTGATTTTTTCGCTGATTGTTTTCCAAACCAATACAGTCATCTTAAATGAGTTTTAACTAGAAAACGGCACACCTTCAGTAAACTGATAACTCATTGATCTATCAGATCAGTAATTCAGCTTACGAATCAAATTTGCTTGGTTAAAAATGATCAGGGAAAGCCTGGGAACCGCAGAGATATGGGTTTCAGTAGGTCTAGCTCTCAATCAAAGAATTAGAAAATTAGTACATCCTTGATTATAAAATTGTCTCTTAAATGTTTTTTTTTCAGATTATTGTTTTGGTAATGACACTATAACTAACCCAGTATTAAATATTGAACAGTAAATCTTCTGCCAAAAAATCTTGTCTTTGCAAATGTCGAATTCTTCGGGCTTATGTTAAATTGTAAAAAAAACTATTTAGAATGATCTTACAAAATCAAAAAATGATGAATCAATAAACGCAAAAACAAATAATTTCGTGTCGATCTGCTACCAAAAGTATAAACCACCCCATTAGGAGCCATAGAGGCAAAAACATAAGGAAACTGGGCTGACTGAATTCCACGTGAAGACATCAAGTACTCGAAAAAAGCATTGATCAAAAAAAATTCTCCTATGTTAGGTGAACTTACAGCTATGTATACACTTGTCAAAGTCTCAAATCAACTTTTGAGCGGGCTGAAGCTGAGTTAGAGTAAAAAAATCATATCTAGGGAACAAAAAATAATTAAAGCTGAGGCGAAAAACATAAACAAGAAAACAACGTAAAAAGAGCCTATTTAGGATATTTATGCATACGTTTATTGATATTAATTATAGTTCCCATCGTTGAAAATGTGAAGCAACTTTGTATTTCAGTGTGTTTTAGTAGAAAGAAACTCAATACAGGCGAAGCTGAGCTTCGCATCACTTACAATATAAAACAAGAAAGCTGCTTAGTCGGAAAAAAATGAAAATGTCAAAAAACTAGATCTATCAAAGTAAATAAAGCTAGTTTTGAAACAAAAACATGCAAAGACAACAGAATGTGAAATAAGCATCGGAAGAAAATGTATCAAGCGGTAAAAAAGCCCTTCTCGCCATCAACTTACGCACAAAACTCTATCTGCCAGTCAAATGAAACAATATGACGTCACAGAGACGATATAATACAAGCCGAAACCAATTAGGCCGAAATTTTTTTTAAAATCCGAAAAAAATCAAAAATACGACTAATAAAAAGTTAAGAAGTCCCCCTCAACCTCAAAATACACACACACGTACAAACAGAATGCTTTGTCACTCATCGACAGACGCAATATATTCACAGGCTTGTAAAATTATAAACAGCGGAAATAACTCAAACACTAAAAGCAACAACAATTAGAATTGCGTACAGCAAAAATTCAATTCTACGATGCGGAAACTAAGCGACAAAAACATATTCTCAAGCTTATTGAAATTTTTGAAAAATTCATAAAAGCATAAATTAATCGTGTAATCACATTCTGAATTCAGATTTAAATGTCCTGTCCTGCGAGTAACCTGACATCACCTCACCACAGGGATGCTCATTTCAAATTTTGTGAAAAAAAAAACAAAACTTTTTAAAATGGTGATCCCAGTGAACAACACTTAAACGCTGCGATCTTAAACATGTGTCAAGTGAATCTCCAATTGCAAAGAGGATATAATTGAACGCATAAGCAACCGGAAATATCTGTTTTCCACTTTCTTTTCAAAATAATTTCTCCGCCGGAGAAACAAAATTTGAAATCAAATTTTAAAAGAAGTCAAAATCATCTAGACTCAAAAAACAAAGTTTGAAATCAATTAGTTGTCAGAGAAACCAAAATCCAACCGCCGAAACAGCGTGAACATAAACAAAGAAGAAACCAAAATTTTACACAGAGGCGAAGCGGAGCTTCGCAATACTTGCGATACAAAATAAAATTCTCAACTCAAAAGATAATGTGTTTCAAACGAAAAGTCAACGCTTAAAGGAATGTTGTTGAAGAAAACGTGAGCTACAAAATGCAATTGTTATAAGAATCAATGACCTAATATAAAAACATAAGAAGAAAGTGGGCTATACAAACTACATTCATCAATAAAAACAAATTTGGTCAAAAAATCGCGATTTACAAGTTCCTAAATTTACTCAAAAACTGTGCTTAAAATCTTGCTTAAAACTGGATATCCTTGAGCAACAAGAAAAAGCCAAAAAAATTATCAAGAGTTTTTGCTATAAATTAGGATCAATATGAAAGGGGAAAAAAGATAAAAGAAAAAAACAATGAAGGCTAAATCTTCATATAAGTTCCACAGAAACCTTTGCAGAAAATCTGAGAAAAAACTCTGAAAACTTTAAGAACTCCAATTACATCAAACTTATTAAATATGAACTTGATACGCAACGTTAATTAAACTGGGTTACAATAAAAGTAACAATAAAAAAGGCAAATGCCCGTAGATGAAAAACAACACGAAAACTTTTTTTTTCTAAAATTTCAGCCATGAAAACTACAATCTTGAAAATCGTGCAACGCTCGCCACACATCATCGTTGCCAAAACAGTCAAGTCAACTATGCAAAATAAACATTGCAAGCATCGCGAATTCTTTTTCTAAAAAAAATTGACATATGAAAATGCCATCAAAATGAACCGATTCCAAATGAAATTGCTCAATCCTAAACACACCAGTAAATTAAAATTAAAACCAACTCTACGCACATTTTTGTTCAAACATAGATAAGAAACATCGCATATAAAAGTAAATGTCAATTTTGTTTTTAATTGCCAGAAAATATATCCTTTTCTGACAGAAAATTTTAGCGTGCACAAAAACCAGGAAACCATGAGATATATTTACCCTCTTTAGAAACAAAAAAATATTGAACAAAAACCTACCAAGCAATTACAGACATAAAAGACCCTGCCAGTAAGCCGACATAAAGTGGGTCGAAATCATTTAATTAGGCCGAAGAAAAAAATCTAATTATATCTCAAAATTTTGCACGATCTAAACAGCACAAAAAATATACGAAAAAAAAACATACGCTGAGACAACTGAAGGAGCAAAAAGCACCTGGAGATAAGAAACCAAGCTGTAACAAAGCCTTATCAGTAATCCTTTCAGCCGAAAAAAAATCAACATAAGACTTACGAAAATTTTAAAGTCCCCTTCACCCTCAAAACACACAAACAATAAAAAAAAATGCAATTGCTCGTCAAATAAAACATCATGAGGCAACTTATCTGATATAATATAGGCCGAAACCTATTAAGCCCAAAACAAACAGGAAAAAACCGAAAAATTGAAAATGATTTAAGACTAAGACGTTATTAAGTCCCCCTCACACTCTAAAAACTGTTTAAGTCTTTAAGTTGGAACGTAGCCCATGCTTTGAAAGTAAACCACTAAAAACCTTGCCAGATAAAAAAACATGGCAAAAACGGAAATAGAACCGACAGCAACTAGGACGAAAACCACAAACACGAAAAAAATCAGAATTTAAAAAAAAGATAATTACAACCTGAAACAGGCTTGAAGTACTTAAGTTTGAATTTTCGAGAAACTGATCATGTCAGAAGATCCTCTAGAAGTAATCCTCTAGAAGTGATCTTGTGGACAAAGTTATTTACGGGAAAAAGAGTCAAGTGCCCAATTTCCACACCCTTGCTTATCGCAAGGGTAAAAAATGGCATTTTAGCTAAAAGATTGATTAATTTTCAGTATAACTTTGTCTGAGAGCCTAACAAGTTTTCGAGTTGCTGTTTATAATGAAAAACTTAGGTGAGGGCCTTTTCGATGAACTTTGAGTGCGAAAAAAACTCTTTTGTGGCTTGACGAAGAACTTTTGGAACCCAGAACACCTCTGATGAGCTTCATTCAAATAAGAGCTCTGCAAAGCCTTGAAAAGAGCATTGTCCTATTTTAGCTCGGTTAAATACCTTCAAGTACTCTTATCCATCTTATCTCAAAACTTCAGCCATGAATCTCGAGTAGCATGACTTCATGATGAATTTTTGATACTGAAAGTACTGTCATGGTGGTTCCAACTTCCACACAGCTTCGCGCCAATTTCGATTCCCTAAAAACATTTAAAAACATAAGAATATGACAAAAAGTTTAAAAATGCGAAAAAATATTTTAAAAAACTAGGTTTACTAATTCAAATTTCTCAATATGTCTTGATAGAAATTCAGTTCAGGCAAAAACTCGAAAAATTTCAATATTAAATTAGCAACGGAACATTTTACGAAGACGCAACAATCTTTTAGCAGACAAGTTGATCCGAAAAAAATATGATTATTATAAAAAAAATTAGGTTCTAAGTCCCACCTGAAACTGCATTGAACAACACTTGCAATTGAAATTACAAGGAAAGTTGCTACCGTCCATGAAAAATTGAGCAGACGAGTTGAGCCAAAAAAAAATCAAATCTTTCAAGTTCCCCCCTGATACTAGAATGAACAACACTTGGACTTGATCTGCAATGAAAGATGCTAAAAGCACGCAACAAAATTCGTGATGTGGAACTAGGCCGACAAAACTTGAGCAGACAAACTTAAACCCGACAATTCAATTTAAACCGAAATTTTTTTTCAGTAGCATACAAACTGATAAGACCTTAGGACGCATAAAACATTTTGAGCTATAAAGTTTTTACGAAATACAAAAGCATTAAAAATTGATCTATTCCTCGAAACTACGCAACATAATTTGACTAAACTGAAATGACAGAACTTTTTAAGCTAAAATAACAGAGCTGAAATACAAAGAGGAGGGCGTTACTCCCATACCAACTGGAAAGGAATCAAGATTTGTAAAAAGTAGAGCCGAAAAAAACTGATGCCATTACAAAATTTTTAGATATGAAGTTTTTACGAAACACATAAAAGCATAAAAATATATTTAATCCTCGAAAATACGTAACAACACTTGACTAAGCTGAAAAAACAGAATTTTCTAAGCTGAAACAATAGAGCTGCAATAACAGAAATAACGCACAAATTACAGAACTTTCATTCATAGAAAAATCTGTTGTAATAAAAAAAACATATGCATTGGAAAACAAGCCCAACAAAACGCACCAGATAATACAGACTGCATTCAAGAAAAGGGAAAATGAGCCGACGGAAACTAGGTCAAAAACTACGATAACGAAACAAGACAACAACCTTTTTAAAGAATTTGGTTTTAACAAAATCTGAAACGAACCTCCCCTAATTAATACCTAAATGATGGTAGTTTTATTTTAAATTTCAAGAAATTGAGCAGTCGTGAAATTTACTATTCCAGATAAAATTGACCTTTTATGAACAAACTTATTTAGGGTGGAAAGTCTAGCACCCGAGTGCAATACCCTTGCTTATCAACAGGGTAACCATGACCGTAACCGTGATTGTTTTTATATTGTTGATAAATTTTTAGATTAGCAAAAATTTTTTGTCTTATGTCGCTTGGCTTCGACTTTTGAAAACGATCGCAATCTTTTTTCTTTCAGGATTGTAAATAATTCTTGCAATTACTCACTTTACTAATTCTAGAGCCGTACAGTATCAGCTACGATAGATTGCTCTGAATATACAGAATAGAACTAAAATTTGCATCTAAGTCATCAAAATTTTATCAGGCATTCAATGCAGCTTTTGCCAGGTTATCGGGCATGTTATGAGCAGATATGTAATGTGCTTTCAAATTAGACTTGAGCGTGAACTCTTTCTGACACAGAGAACAGGAAACTGACGCAATCAGTCCTTGCATGTGCTTTAAAATTATATGTCTTCGAACATTTTGTTTCTGTAGGCCTTGCAGTCCGCATATTTTGCACGAAAACACTTTTCGTCCTGAATCCAGTGATTGCATTGTAGCTATCATGTCATTTGGATCTTGCTGAAAATCAGGCTGTATCTGGACCTGAGATTTTGGTGTTGCTTTCATTGCACTTAAAACTGGTTCTGATTTTGTCACCTTGCCAACCTTCAGATTTGAAATTTTACCTGCTTTAACTTCCGTTTTCCTTTTAGTTACTTTACCTTCTTTCTCTGCGTTGCCACATTTTTTTGAAGCATCGATATCGGAATTCGTAATTTTCAAATTTCCGCATTTTAGGCCAATCTCCGGATTGTAAATTTCAAAAGCCAAAATTTTGTCATTTGGGAGTATGATATTTTCAACAATGAAATCTTCAAGTTCGATCAAAAAGTCAAGTCCTTCTTTGTTCATTATCTTCGGTACAATTTATTTCAATCTCTTCACGCAGAACTTTTACAAACTTAACTGAAACCTCACTCGTTTTCTCAAATTGGGATTCAAATCAAATTCACTAACTGATCTAAAATATTTGATTAGTTCATTTTGCTTTTCAATTCCTGGATGCAGATGCTTTTCTCACCATCAAAACATTCACTTCGAAATTAAATTTGACATATTTTCAAGAATTAAAATTGAAAATATTAAATAAAATGAAGACTGAAATTCTTAAATTTGTACTGAAAACCCTTTCTATAGTTTACTTACAATACAAACATTAACTTTCGACATAAAATATTTGCACCATATAGCTATTAAACTTAGCACACATAACAACATCAAACATCCGAGAGTTCAAATGTTCCATAAATAAAAGCTTTGGAAGCTAAGCTAAGTATTCAATTATGAGTTAATCACCCGCTGAAAGATAGTCCAAGGCCAACAAAAACTGCTTTCATCCCAGAGCGCAAACTGTCCAGTCAAATTTTTGATCTGAACTACAAGACATGTATTTTTCGCACCTTCATTGGGATTTCGACTGCACTTACTTGCAAAGGCCACATTCCTCCTAGAATGCCAGCCTGAACCGATACTCCAGTGGCGACTGCCAGTTCCGGATCGACCTTCGGAGGACTTGACAAGTCGCGGCCGAAGAACTCTCCAATCACTTCTCTGACTTTTGGGACCCGAGTTGAGCCACCAACTAGCACTATTTCATCAACATCATCTCGGCTCAACGAGACTTCTTCTAAAACTACTTCGATTGGTCTTAGAACTTTCTGGAACAAATCTGCGTTGATTTCGTTGAATATTTCTCTGGTGATATTTAGGTTAACTTTAATTGGTTCCTGCATTTGTACCTGGACATGGCTAGCGGTAGTGAGGTCAATTTTAACTTGATCGGCTAGAAGGCGTATCTTTTGCAGCGTAGTTTGATCAATAGCTGTTAACTGTTGTGTTGCACTGCTAGCACCAAGTGGTTTGTCAGGGTCTGAATTAAGCAGCACAGTTGATGATGACTGTTGCGGTTTGTCTTCTGATATGCTATCTGCTGTTAGGTTAGATTGCGTCATTATATGCGTCATCAGTCGGTGCGTGAAGTCCTGGCCTCCCAGGTAACTGTTTCCGGCGATTGCTGCAGTTAGAAATATACCTCCTTGTCTGTTTAGTAAAGATACATCTAAAGTGCCTCCGCCTAAATCTATCACCATCACCTAAAATATTAAACGTCCATTTTACATAAGCATATTTTATGAAATTAATTTTACCTCTCCATGTTTATCATCAGTTCAAAAATGACAATGAACGCCGATGATAGATTAAAATATCTGGCTCTTCCTGACAATTCCTTACCAGGCCGGATTTGAATCATCTGCCTATCGATCATGATTAGTTAAATGATACCAATATAGCTACATCCATTTGTGAGCAGCCATCTCGTCCCCTCAAAATTGCCTAGTAAAATCTATTCGATTGACAATATGTAGCAAAAGTATCTTGAAAATTTTCATTTCATCGGATCAGATATTTTAGTCTATTGAAACTTGGATTGGCTCGTTCTTAAAATCGCCAGCATTATAAAAATTTGCAATTTTTACGAAAAAAAATCCAGTCGGGTTTTGTTTCTATTCACAACATGTATTTGATTCTCACCATCTGGATTCCCTCCTCCTCGTGGAGTCCGTAGGCCATGGCAGCCGCAGTCGGTTCCTGGATCACTCTCCAGACGTCCAGGCCAGCAATGGCAGCCGCCTTTTTGGTCGCATTTCTCTGGCTGTTGTCGAATTCAGCCGGAACACTGACCACCGCCCTCGTCACTGGTTTCTGTAAGTGGTGTGCCGCAGTGTTCTTCAGATACGAGAGGATCTCTGCTCCCACTTGCTCCGGCGAGAAGAAAAGGGACGAGCCATTGGCCAATACAACCTTCAACAAAACAAAATATTTCAAATCATCAAAATCGCTGACATAATTTGCATTCACAAGTGCTTCACTAAAACAAACAAAAAACTAAATTTCTTGACTTCTTTTAGACCGCAAGAGAAGCAGAAAGAATCTGTAATTTTAAACTAAGAGTCACTGTAGAACAAAACTACTTTTCATAGGTAAAAACAGCATCTGAGCATATCAGGGAAGTCTTTTACCTCAAAAAACGCCGAGTCTCGATGCGAGATGTGTATTTTGAATGGATATCTCTGCTTAATCTGTTCGATCTCTTCAACTGTAGATTGTTCGAAACTCCTGCCAATGAATCTCTTAGCATCGTAGATGAGATTGGCTGACGGAATGAAGGGAGCTATGTTGAGGGCTGCCTTTCCTACAATCACAGACCCGTTCTCTGGAAGTATTGCGATGACACTTGGAATGCACTGGGAGCCCTAGAATCAAATTTTTTTTTGCACAAATAACATAGAGGCGAAGCGTAGCTTCGAACCACTTGCGATAAATGAATGACTTTAATTGAAATCCAACGGAAAAATTTGAAAAAAAAAATCAAAAAATTGTGGTTGTCAATAAAATTAGCAACAAAAGCCCAAATCATCCGGAAAAAAATTGCCTGCATCATTAGAAACTTAACAAAGACCCTTCGGAATGCTAGAAAGAAACCAAATTTTCAAAAAGTAAAATCAATTCTGCGGATCTAAGCCGACAAAAATAAACAGACCGACAATAATCTAAATAAGCATAAAATTTTCTATTTGCAAAAAAAACGTATCGACTGGAATCGAGCTCCCGGGCTTCATCTTCTTATGTATGTGCGTTGAAGCAACTTGGAAGAAAGCTGAACCTTCAAAAAAAAGTGCTACAGAAACTAAGCCGACAAAAACAAACAGATTGACGATAGCCCGAAAAAGCTCAAGAACTTCAGTTTGCAAAAAAAAACAGGTCCGGCCGGATTCGAACCGCAACCCTTTGTGGTCTCAAGCAGTTGGGTTACCTCTACTTCAAATGGTTGATGGTCGCGCCGGATGGTTGATTGAATTTGAACTAATAATAACCAAGCGGTAACAAAGCCGAAAATATCTGAGCAGAAACCTTTCACAAGGAAAAAAATATATATAATATTTAAACATATAATATATATGTAACGAAATAAATCTAAAATAATAAAAAAATATGTCCCTTTTTTCCTCTTTCCTCAGAACAGACCGCGCACACACAACTTTTTTCGATCCCCAAACGACCCAATAGGGGCCCACTAGATCGATATAAATTAAACCGAAACTTATTAAGCCGATAAGAAGACAAAACATGAAAAAAAATGAAATTTCGCATATCGAGCTAATAAAATTACAACCAATGTAAGAAACAAATTCGATTCGGTCGGATTTTCAAAACGTTAAAACACCTACAACAACTACAGTGAAAATTTTTAGCAGCAAGAAAAACTATTCTTAGATGTGTCAACTAAGCCGAAAAAACATAAGCAGACCAATAATAGGCCGAAATTTTTTTAACCGCAATATTAACCGTTTGAAAAAAAACAAGCCCTAGTCACATTCGAATCCAAGACTACTGCCGTCATAGGCGTATTCGTTACCTCCAGGCTAAGTGTGCAGAATACACTAAGAAATTTGAAATCATTATGAGCCAAGGTATCACCAATAGTCCAGAGAAGTTATATACGGGAAAAAGTCTAGTACACGATTGCAATACCCTTGCTTATCGCAAGGTTAAACAAAACAGAAGTCAAACCGCGAAAAAATAAATTTGAGCCGGAATAAACTTCCTGTAAAAGAAAACTTTAAAAAATCATCGCGACCTATATAAGAGTCATGGACTCTTAAAAAACTTTGCATGGTCTCGGATTCGAACGTTTAATCCTTCGCGTCATAACCCCGCTTTTTACCACCACACTACTTGGCCTACATTTTCATGAAAACCAACTTCATTAATAAAGTGAGCTATCAAATTATTCAAGTGATTCTGTTTAACTAGTTGTTAACCCAAAAAAGTCTATATTCCAGTTTGATAACGCTTGCTAATCGCAACCATAATAAAGCTTTCATGGTTCCTTTTTTATTAAACAAGTGATAAGCAAAGCACTTTTTAACAGTCAATATTACCCAGAACCATACAAATAAAAAATTATTTCCTTGGTTATCTGAGGCAAAAGATACCTATTCACAGAAGAATATTGTCCGTTTCTAACTAGGTCAACTTACTTGGTCAGTGACAAATATGGTCACGTTTCCAGACACAGGATGGTAAGCACCGACACAGGAAAAGGTGGTGCCTAGATCCAGACCAATGAAGGAGGGCTTCGGAGGTGGCAAGTAAGTCTGTCCAAAATAGCCCACCAGCAGGACCCCAATTATGGCCACTCCTATGGCCACGAACCCACTGGCCATTAACTGAAAAACAACTGCAACTTCATTTCAGTGTCAAATGGCCGCCTTCAGTAAAAGGAGCAGGGAAGGAAACAGTGTTGAGACATTTAAAAGTTCGAGATTTTAGACTACAGGTTACACATATTGATTCCTTGCTTGTAAAAAATTAGTGAAAATTGCCAAGACTTTATCATAATAAGTTAGGGCAGCAATCAATAACTGGCGTTAAATTAGCTTTACACGAACGCACGAAAAACTTCAAAAAATATTTTCCGTTTTTTTTTCGGCAAAAACAAGACATCAAAAACTTGTTTGCGACTCGCTCATAAACCGATTAATTTAATTTTGATTTGACCTTTGCTAAAAAAACGGAATGAAAAATATCGTCCAAAAATCAAACCAAGTACAGCAAGATGCTAGTCCAAAATTTCCTTTTACACTGAGACGAAGCATCCCTATGCAAAACCGAGCAAAAAAAAATTGCACGAGCCTAAAATTTGCAAAAAAAAATGCACAAAAGTAAGTAAATTATCTTTGAAAAATAAAAAGGAATTACAGCCTCAAAAATTCGAGCCTCCGCCCGATGATTTAGAGTCTAAGTTCCAGTCAATTGCGCTTTTTGCCCTTGTTGTATTCCAAACACCAGCCATTGAACAAGCGGATCACAAAAATGCGGAGCAAACACGAGCAAAACACAAATACTGAAATTTAGTGATTTTGTTGAGAACTAGTTTAAGCGTAAGATTTAAAAAAATAAATAAAGTTGTAATACTCGTAAAGCGAAAGCGCTGTTCGATTAGAAATCAGTCGGTTGACCGTGATGAATTTCAGCTTAAAAATTTTCTCTCAAATTCATTTGAATTGAAAATCAATTTTTAAATAAAAATGCATAGCGCTCAAGCCATTTATTTCTCTTCGAAAAAAAGATAATTCTTTGAATTTATTCAAACTTCCCAGATTAAAAAATTCGCCTGATATCGGACTATAATAAAACAAGTTTCATAACAAACCCCTGAGTATATTAAAATCATTCTCCTTCTAAAAGACTTTCGTCTATATTTTTTGGAGATTTTTGTTAGCTTATCAACCTTATTTCCCATGGACGAAGCTGAGTTAATTAGTGGAGTGAACATGGTGAAGGTTAGAAATGAAGTTAGAAAAATCACGAACTTCGGCTAGTGAGCAGGCACAAAAAATTGAAACTTAGGAAAAAATCGGGCTCAAGAAAGAAATACGAGCAATAACTGTGTTCTGCTCCTCAGTGTTCTGATACTCTGTGTTCTGATACTCAAACTGCTTAAAATCATGCTGTAAGATGCTTTAAGAGGAAAATCAAATTCCGCTTACAATAAGTGTGCCCTGCCTGTGAGTTCCCGGACTGTCTTGAGTCTGGCTGCGAGTTCCGACTGGCGAATGACCAAGACGGGGGTTAACTTGGAACTTAAGTTTCAAAAAAGGAAATTGAGCCCTGCCAGTGCGTTCGCGGGCAACCTCGAGTCAGGTTGTGATTACGCGACCGGCTAAGAACGAAGCAGGGATTCTCAAACTCAAAGCATAAGGTAGCTTTGTTCTTCTCATTTTGTCATCCTGAGATCTTCTTGTCAACCAAACTTATTATTCCTATCATTTGAAAAATGGGGAGGAACTTAGTATTCGGGTTTATTTTAGTTTTTTTTCTAGTTTTTTAGTAAATCATATGAAAGCTCTTTACGTCGAGAAAAAATCGGCTCGAAATTTCTGATTCTTCGTCTAAATTCGAGCTCACTTTAGCCCGTTTACAATAGTTATTTATGTCTAATTTTAGTTATACTCAAGTAAAATTAGTTTTTGAAGATTTTTAATGCCATTTACAGATCGTTATACAAAACGCAACGAACTTCATTTATTTGAAATGAAATTTTTCTTCTTGTAGTTTCTTAAAAACTATGGTCAGAAACTTCTGTGATAATTGCACAGTAACCGGCTATTTTTATTTTGAGACTAAGATACAAACTAACAAAATTTACTTATTCTTTAACATATTAGTTTTTGATTTTTTTTTCTTTTTTAAACATGTTTTTCATGGGGTCTTTCCTGTTCATAGTGTCATTCTATTAATAGAATTTCTTTTGTAAGACAAAACGAGGAGGAATACGAGGCCAACAAACACAAAGGTAGTCAAAAATGGAAAAATCTGTTTTGTAAAAACATTCACGGTCAAAAAATTTAGATGAACTGCAAATCATGGCAAGAAATGTTCATTAAAAACCTTTAGCTATATGCTCAAGTGAAACGTAGTAAAACAATGGACAGGATAATAACATTTTCTCTCTTGGTGGATATAAAAACTTTCTATACCGCTCAGAGACACCTGAAAACGGATCTGTAGATCCAATGATGATCTCCCAGGCAGTTATCAATTTTCTAGTATAAACGTTAGTTTTTTTTCTGCCTGCAAACTACTTACTATTGTTATTGTGTAAATACAAAACTTAAGTGATAACTCATAGAACTGAAAATTTTTCCAACTTAAGCAGCGGAATGCTCACAGATATAATTCACATGTTCCCGATCTTTCATTGCCAGTATAAAATAGTTTCATCATTAAGCTCTATTCTATGCATCCCTCTTTCCTGGATGATGAAAAACTCTACGAAGCAGTGTATCCCGCTCACGAAATTATTATATTTTTTATTGCCACAATCAGTTGTTCTGTGAAACATTTCGCGTCGAGTCGCACATTCACTCAAGCACGGCCATTCAATATGACAGTTTAGACCAAGTTAATACCCCCACGCACAATTAAGGGGGAGGATGTTAAATGGTTAAAGTTGAAGTTTTAGCCAATCTGAATCAAACATGCTACCTGCAGCTCTTAGCACATTTATTTCAAAAGGAAAGCTGTTTTGGAAGATCTCAGTTTAGTCCACCAGGAGGGGATATGAATTTGATTTGACACTTTTTGGTTACCTGACTCAAAAAATTCTAGATTCAATGTATCTTTTTGATATCAATTTGAAAGTGGGAAATAAAGGCATATGGGATAAATTGTCCTGCAGGAGTTTGACTTTTTATTGTCACTTATATTCTCTGCTTCTTAAAAAAATATGATATAACAAGATTAATATAAATTAATCCATATATTATAAATATAACTTCAGTATTTAATGAATTCAGAACTAATTAGAAATGTATCTATTTGAGAGTTTTTCTGCTACTTTTATTATCGAATTTAAGCAACCATTACCCGTTTAAAGAAATAATGCGACTTCAGCAGGATGTTAATACAGTCATTGAAATATTGCATTAACTTCAATTTTCAGTTGAACTGCAAAACAAAATGAGATTCGTTACAAATTTTCAAAAAAATCGGCTTTATTGGGAGAAGTATTTTTCGTGTTCAACTGACTCAGCTTTAAGCGATTTACTACACATACTACTCATACTTCTACGCATTTAAAACTTTAATATTAAATATTCTGCGGCTGACGCAGCTCAATGGGAAACAGAGAAACAAAAAAGGTTGTGACGGCGACAACAAAAGTTTCCATCGCTGAATAAACTCGGGCCATGCGTGTCGGCGGAGCCCTCTGTAACCTGTCATTCCGGCTTCCTAAGTTGCTCCTACTCGGCGACCTACTAACTCCCGAGTCCTGACCCTCTCGGTTGTCGGCTTCGCTCGGGTTTTCGTCTCTCATCGTTTCGTATTCGTTCTGGTTATCTCTGTTTTCGTTTAAACCATCGTCGTCGTTTTCGTCGTTCTCTTGGGGTTCTAACTCATCGTCGTTATCATTATTCAAATGATTGTTATCGTCGTTTCTTCGCATCAACTCTCGGCCGAACAACGGCAACCACCGCCGCTGAAAAAAGTACATCAAAGCTGTGATCACACCGACTGTCAGAACCCTGTTGAGAGAGGAATAAGAGTAGAGAATGACCAGCAAAACAACCAGGCGGGACTCTCTGTACAGCCACGTCAGCCAATCATTTTCTTCGCCTACTTCATCATTTTGAGCAGGGGCGAATCCTCCCGCTGCATTGATCACAGCCGCGTTTTCTCTTTGTCGTTGCTCTAACATCGCCTGAGCAGCTTCGTTTCTTTCATTTTCACGCTCAGCTGTACTTTCATTGACTGTCTCTTGATTAGTTACTTGTTCATTGCTCCCTTCAGAATGACTTCCTTCCAACCTAGAACCCCTCCCAAGTAGCATGTTCAAAGTGCTATTCAAATCAGCAAAGGTAGCTGTTTTGAAAGTTTGAGTTTGAAAGCTTTTTACAACATCTTCTTTGACAGTTGCGTAAAACTTGCGATGTTGTTCATGCATATCTGCAACCATTTCCACATATTGCTCTTTGGTGATGTTCGAATTAATATAGTTCACGATGAAACCAATGTTCGAATTGTCGAGCGACAACGGCAAATTCGCCATGTTTGCCGTTCCCGTTCCATTGGTTGAAAGGTTAGTAGTATCAGCAACATTAAACATACTGGTTGGCCTCATTGTTCCACTTGGTCTCGCTGAATTGCTCGTCGACTCCGAGCTACTTGCAGTTCCAGAAGACGCATTGGACATATTCACTTGATGGCGCTTGAAAATTGGACTTCCTTTTGCTGTGCACACAAGATGAACAATGAACTCTTTTGACCTTTCTGTTGACGATGCTAATTTCATCTGCAGTTTGAACGCATCGCTTAAAATTACGTTGTCCTTGAGTAGAATTCCCGCGTGAATTAGTTTCTGGTCTTCGATTTTTGGCTGAGAAGGGAACTCGCGACTGATCTGAGCCTTCAAGAGTTTTACTGAAATTTCTGATGAACAAGTTAGTTTACTATCACCATGAGTGAGCGTCTTCAGAAGGATCTGAATCTCTGTCCCGTTTTTGGATTCATTGCACTCTTTTGGACAGGACAGTGAGCTTGAACTTGCTTCGGCCGTTTCAGATATTGGATTATCAGACATAACTGAAATACAAAACAAAAACATAAAAGCAGCCAAAAGACAGTTGGAGCAAGTCAAAAAATTTTAGCTTTCGATTTTCCAAGAAAAATATATGGCGTTAAAAGTTCTTTGAATTTCAAGAATCTTTTATGATTGACAGTTTTGATAAAATTAACCCAAAATGAAAAACCTGAATCTATAGGTGAAGTTTTATTATTGAATTGAAACTTAAAGTAACAATAAACAAATACAGGCTAAGCGGAGCTTCGCATCATTTGCGATACAACAAGCTTAGCATTCCAAGGTAGTGAAAAAAATATGAGACGGAAATACCTAAGTAGAAAAAAACTACTAACTTTCAGAAAAACAACATCCGAATTACATAGGCTTAACAATTTTAACGACCGACCACTAAGCCAACAATACGTGCGTAAACACCCATTGGACCGAAAACACTAAAGAATGCCATAAAAAATTGATTTCACAAAAAAAATTGGAACTTTACACAACAACCGACCTGAAATAATTTTAAAAAACCAATCATCTTTCGCCTTTCAAACGACGCAAAATAAATTGATCAAGCTGATCAAACAAAATCCAAAACCATATAGGTTGAATGAAGCTTCAAACTGAAAAAAAAATACTAAATCAGGGCTAGTAAATTTGCAAATTACTTAAAATCCACAGCACTTGCAACTACAATGAAAAATGATTAATGCACGAAAAAATCCATGATCTGGCAACTAAGCAGGAAAAAGCATCAGCAGACAAACGAAATTCCGACGTTAACTTTTTCCCGAACAAAAAATTTCAATTCCATACATACTGAAAAAACCGGGACTCGAACACCAGACCTTCGGAGGTAAACGCAATGCCAATACGGAAGACTAGAAGTTCAAAAATAAAGTTCAATTTATTGCAGATTTGTTAAAATTTACTGGAAAAAAGTCTTGCTCCCGATTACAAGACACTTGCTCTAGCAAGTGTAACAATTGCATTAATATGTATGAATGCATTTCTGTTTTCATTGGAGCAAAAAAAAGATAAAATCACTAAAATTTTTTAAGGGTTTTCACTGCGTTTATTGTCACTAAGTAAGATACATAAATGATTTACAGAAACAAACAAAGGTAACATATTACCCGCAATTTTGTAAATTGACATAATCAAAACATTTCAGAAGCAATTTTTGCCGGTTGTTTTTTATGCTTATCACTAGAACGTCCATCTGAAAATCAAGACATCTGTCGATTTCAATTTGAGACAATTCAAACCAGTTATATTAAGCAGTTATATAAATGATTTGGCATATTTGATATTTTGTACCATTCACATAATTGAAATGTCGGCTGAATTTTGTCGCTATTTGGGTCCAATGTCCCGACCCCTTTTTAATGAAAAGGCATGCTAATTTTCCCGACAGGCTAGTCTCCAAATGACTTTTTAAAAGATAAATAATCACTGCAAACGAAAACATAAAAATCAACTAATGCAGCCTCTTTTTTCACTAATTAAAAAAGATAACAAGTTGCTCTGCATAGAGCACAGAAAGCTTTGAATACAATGATTGAAGCAAAAAAATCTAAACACAAGAAAAAAATTGACACGAATTTTGTTTCCTTTTGTTCCGGAAATTTCCTGTTGTTTTTTGGTTTTTGTCTCTAAAAAATCGATTGAATTGATTAAAAACAGTGCACAATGTATAAAATGCAGCAACCTAAATTGAAAAGAAAAACATATTTTTTTTTAAATGCAAAAAAAATTACGCTAAGTCAGACTTCCAGTTATACTAACAAAAACTATTTAAAATACAACAAAAACCCCGTGCTCCAAAAAGTAAGCCAATAAAAGCACTACAGAATTTAAAAAAACGTTAAATGAACCGACAGAAACTAGGGCGAAAACCACAAACTAGAAAAAAAATGACTTTTTTTTGAAAAACTAATTACAACCTGAAACAGTCTTAACCTACTTACTACTTAAATGATAGTAGTTTTGTTTGAATTTCTAGAATTTGAGCATGTCAGAAGGGATATTAACCATTCCTACTAAAATGACCATTATGTGAAAGAAGAAGCTGTTTACGGGAAAAAGTCTACTGCCCGATTGCAATACACTTGCTTATCGCAAGGGTAAAAACGCATAACTTAAAACCAATTATTGTCTTCTGACAGCTGCGCTGGATTACTGCCCAGCTAACGCGCTGTCTGTTCTTGAATACTTAATTAGCATCGAAACACTTAAACATAAAAACAAAGCCGACAAATCAGACGTACTTTTATTTAAAAAAACTGGAACTAAAAACCCTCCAAAACAATTAAAAACGGAAAAAACTGATATATTGAATTCAAAATTGGTAAAAAGTACAACCAATACGGCTAGAATAGAACTCTGGTTAGAAAAGAACGGGCATTTAAAAAGCAGACATGCTCTAAGTTTGTCTGTTAGTCGACGAAAGTACATATTTCGAGATGACCACTAATTTCAGTCATCAATGTGAACGAAGTTATTTACGGGAGAGACAGTTTTATGACTACTTGCACCACCCTTGCTCATCGCGAGTAATGAATGGCTGCAAAGCATAAAGCCGCAAAATGGCAACTTCTAAATGTTATCAATTTTTGAGAAAAGGATCTGACGTGAGATCATTTCAATAACTTCGAGCAACCAATAATTGTTCTGAAAACACAAAACAATAATATTCCTTTGCTTTTCGAAGTAGAAGACAATTGCCATTCTGAAGTCAAGTTATTTAACGGCTTTTATATTGTGCTATTCCCATATATCTCAATGGAATGATGAGAAGAGAGTAGAAAACGCTCAAACAAAATGTTAGTTTTCCGCTAATCGTTTTATGCAAGCGGATTGACTTTAGGTCGTCTTGGATAAATACGCTTGTTTTGTTATATCTCCTCTGAAATTTCTTTATTTTTCGGGCAATCGAACGGATACATCAAAATTTTGAATGAGCTATATGTAGAAACGACACTACTTGCTTAAACCGCTAGAAAAACTTCGACTATTTTTGATATACTGGATTGAAAGTAAACAAATTCAATCGAATAAATTTATTGTATTTTCTTTATTAAAACAAAAATGAAATTTATTTATTAAAATGAAGTTTTAGACGAACACAATAGGATGGAGAGACCTCCTGCAATTGGTCACTTCTCCAGTTGCTCTAGGAACTCATCGAAACTCATGGGAGAACTCATCGATTTATGCAGACCTCGCGTGCTTTCAAATTTCAACAGGAGTCATCGACTGAGTGTCCATTTTCATCAGAGCCGCCGCTCTTGTTTTGCTCCATTTCAACTCCCGGTACGCTTTCACCACTCTTTCACGCTCTTGAGATAATTCGTCTGCGTTTGAGTCCGTCGGCATAACTGTGGTAATTTTGGAATCAGGCTTCCTACGTTTGAACTTTACGTCACTTTTAACTGAACTTATTAACTTCTTGGCCGAAAGCGAAATAGATTTCATTGGAGTTACGGTCTGAAAAGGCCGACTTTTAAATTTACAAACAGGTGTTTTCAACTCTGACGGAGGTGCATCGACTCTTTCGTTCAGCTGGAATGAATCTTTGAAGTACTCTTTTTCCGCGTGATCAAGTTCTTTGTCTTCTTTGCGCTCCTGTCTAGAATCGATCCGCCATTGCTCAAGCGAAGAGATCTTCCTTGACTTCCGTCTGTTCAGCTCTTTAGCTACATTTTTCCCAACAGGTGTGAACAGAAGTTTCTTCTTCGCTTCCTCTTTTTTCTTTTCGTCGTCTTCGTGAATTTGTATTCCCTTCATGAACAATTTGAAGTTACGAGGTACCTCCTGTTCCAAACTAGTTTTCGAAGTTTTCTGAGCAGTTCTGTGCTTTTTCTTCTTAGACAATCCAGATACTTTGGAGGGAGATTCATTGTCACTGTCTGCGAAAACTTCGAGGGGTTTATTTCTATTGAAGGGGTCAAACCACTTGAGCTTTTTTCGGTTCTTTCGCGGGTATTTTCGAGCCATTTCCAATTCTGCAAAAGGGGTAATTTTGTTCATTTGTAACTTTTTTTTTGAAAAACTGTCTGTTTTTTAAAACAACTGATACTTTTTAGTTTTTAGAATGGTATATGTTTCTATCATATGAATTAAACAAATTGAGGCAAGGAATAGAAACAACTCGAAGCATTTATGCTCCAAAAACTATTAGACTCTTTTTAACTTTCTAGTAGTTCAAAGCTGAGTTCCGTGATATACTCAAAACACATCTGTCAAAAACTGTTCTTGATTCACATTTGAGTCATATTGAAGCCGACTAATTTATAAAATTTGTTGAAGTTTTATTTGAAAAAAAATCAATAGTAAATGAGTAAACTTGATAAATTTTAAGATCTGCGAAAAATTTTATTCTGGTTTGATAAACAATCTATAACACTATTTCACATTTGGCCATTGGCCACATCTGTTTTTGGGGATAGATTGAGTGGGAAGTTACAACTCGGTTAATTAGTTATAAAGGTTGGCAAATTATAATTCGGTGTCAACAGTACTTTGCTCTTCTTCATCTGGTGCGTTCCAAGTCAATCCTGAAGTTTCTTCATGATACACTGGCGACAACAGTAACTGCGAAGGGTCGGTTTGCCCAACCTTAATTAACCTTTCTATCTTCTCTAGGTCAACTTGTTTAGCCAATAGTTTCCTTTCGAGAGCTCGCAGCTTACTTTTCAATCTATCCATTTCTGTTCTTGGCTCTTCCCATACTTTAACAGCAGATTCCTCATTGATCTCCGAAGTCAAAACTAACTTCACACTTTGGGTCGACTCCATTAACTCAGATTCAAAAGTAGTTTCGGAGCTTCTTGTCCGATGAACACTATCACTTGATCCAGGAATCGCTAAGCCAAGTGGCATCAAAGTCAAATTCTGATTCGAGGGGTTATCGGATCCTGTTGTGGGCGCTAGGACGGCTGGCAATGGTAATCCAGCGGCTGCCGATTCCTCGAGGGTCGAGCTTCTGGAGAATGGACTATGACCCGATGAAGACAAAAAAGAATACTTCAACATATCCAGCGACTCGCTGCTTTTTTCAAACCTGCTTCCAGGCTTTTCAGACGGCTCTTCTTCGTCATCCGTTTCCGAGAAGTTTTCAAAACCCTCCTGAATCGATTTATCAAAACTGTAATTTTCTGTAACTAAACATTCATCGATTTCTGTTTCTACAGCAAGAGTGTTTCTGACAGCTACGCTCGATTTTTTACTGTTTAGAAGTAGCTTGGCAGTGTGTAAGTTGTTCACCCAGTGACCAAGATCAAGACGATTTTCTGCCGCAAAAACGAACTTTTTCTGTTGGTGACAAAAATTCATTGTGAAAACGAACTTGAAGTTATCCTGCTGTTCAGTTTTTTCGACATCGACAGCCTTTAAATGAACAACGACGTCTGCTTTTTCTGCTTTCGGTGAAGCGAACACGTAAAAGAAACCATTTTTGATTACGCAATACGAGCAAACCCAGTCGTTTTCTGCTTTTTTCCGGTTCAAATTGCCACTGATTTCTGTCTCGCCTAAGTCCTTTATCGACACACGCCGATCAATTACTGTGTGTTTCTCTTGGACAGGCTGGATGACTGCCGACTGTGTCTGGGAACCCGACTGCGAGTCCTGGTCACTGCTCAAAGCACCTGATGATGTACTTGGATCGCAAGAACTCACGCTCGGCAACACTTCCTCTCTGAACGCACTAGGTGCTGCTACTATTGGCTTGGCAACTGTTATGATTGGTTTAACCTTTTCTTCCGAGTCCTTCAGTAACGACTGCGCCGATGACGATCTGCGCTTAAGCGATCCCAATTTTGCACTTAAGCTGGTTCGGTTTACCGAAGACCGATTGTGTGAGGATGACAACGCATCGGAACCCTTCCTCGCGTCTTGTTGATTCAAAAAAGAGCCTCGACTACTTTCAGCTGCCGTTGAAATCTTTTTGGGCGAAATAACGGACGATAAAGGGACACTCGTTGAAGCACTGGGTTGTTTGTTAAACGACTCAATAGTAGACTTTCTTGATCTTCTCTTGGCCTGTTTTTGAGCATCAGGGGGACAAAGAGTCTTCATTCGTCGCAATTGGTGGTCCATACTCATGTGCCTTGGTCGCTTGCGTAAAGTCAAAAAAACTTCAGCAGGATTTGCCGCTTTGAACTTATTCAGAATACTATCCAATGTCCAGTTCGTGACACATGTGTAGTCAATCTGAACAATCTCGTCAAAAATGTCCAGTTTGGCATTTACGTGAGCAGCTGGCGTGTTGGGCCTGATTCCGGAGACTACGTGAATGCCCTCCAATGACAGTTTGAACATGAGTCCCAGTTTTTCTGAGGGGTTCTTCCTCTTGAGGCAAACCTGCTCTAGAAACGCGGGGGTTATGATGGATGAGTCTGTGCAATCGTCCAGGAAGTCCCGACATAGCTCTTGGATGTCTCTGCACTTTTTAGCCAGATCTTCTTCCAGTTCTGCCGTCCATCGATCACCAACAACGCAGTAACCTAAATTACTACCATGAAAATATCTACATCCTCACTCCCTCCTACTAAATTCGCAAGTCTGATAGAGGGGGCCTAGGAAATTAGACGACAAGCAAATTAGACGGATGCTACAAAAACGAAATTAGACGAAATTTATTTTTTAGACGAAAAAGCTATGAAAAGGGCCAACAAAATTTTTTCTTAAGAGTCAAGTTTCACAAATACAAAAAGAACATAAAATGTCAATACCTATCAAAAGAATTAGTTTAAATGAACATAAAATGTCAAATCCGAATATTACAGGAGAGTTTTGAATTGAATAAATTATGCATGATTGACTTGTAAAACTATTAGCCACCGAAATTTAACTGTTGTCTGCAAACAATTTCATTTTTTTAACGCAATTTGTCTGCAAACAATTTTAATCTAGTCTCCCGCTTTCGTCTATTTTCTCACAATTGCAGTTTTGCAAAATCGTCCAATTTCCTTTTAAGTACCTCCGTCTAATTTGCTAATCGTCTAATTTCTCAACCCCCTGATAGAGTGGTCTTAAGAAACTAACCAGGTCCCTAATGTAGATAGAGTGCCTCAAAATTGTTCAATTTAGTGCTTTGATGATGACAATTAAAGTATCGAATTCGTTTGCGCGAATGAGGCAGGTTAATTACGATTGAGAAAACGCTTTAAAACGACCGACCGGTGCATTTTGAGTTAGTTAATGGTGGTATTTGCCCAAAATTAATGTAACAATCCGATAATGTGAACAAAATTTTACTAGTAAAATTTCGCTGGTGGGGGGGGGGGGGGGGGAGAAAAAGAGCCTTTGGGACCGCTCTCTCACACTTGGTTATTACCGGGACCGGTACTACTATGATAGAGTGGTCCCTCGAAAAAGCAACTATGATAGACAGGTCCCGCATGCATTTCGCATGTTATAACTTTGAAAACTAATTTGTGTATAAATTATTCATTTCAAAAATCTGGCAAACTATGTTCAGCCAGAAACTTATCACATTGGAAAATATAATCGCTATTGTTTATATATTGAAATTTGGTCGCTTTACTTTGTTTTACGGTTTAACAACCATATAATTGGGTTGACTTATTTGTCATCAAAAAACACTATTCGCGGTTTTTTTTTTAATTTCAACCCTAAAATGGTGAGGGGGAGGTTTTAAGAGGTAACAAAACATGAAATTTGTTTGAAAATATACTGCGACATCTTTCTGAATGGCGTAATCATAATTATTAAACGATTTGAGAGCTCTTGGTGTCTTATTCTCAAGGGACCTGGTTATTTTCAAGGGACCACTCTATCATAGTAGTACCCCGGGACCCCTATATGTACGACTTGTATATGTACACACTTGTACCAACCAACCATAATTTTTGTAGCTCCTATATAATTCATTTTTACCGATTGCTTTATTGGTCACCATGAACGTCTCTGCTAGATCAATATAGCTTCTACTCTCATTGAAGGGCGCCTTGATCAGCCACGAGCAGATCTCTCGGCCAGTTGCTAACATGTCGCACACATGACTCAGCACATTATTTGGGACGGTAGCTCGAGTGGCCGAATGTACTTGTTGTGGGGCGAATTCATACCGCTTTCTCAGAATAATCGTCTCCAAAGACCTCGCACCTCTCTGGTACTTCATCTAAAAACAGCACTTGAAATGAATAACAGAAAAAAAAAAAGAAAAAATAGGACTGAGTCCCAGTTCTCAGAGTGGCTGTTGAGAGGTGCTCGCTCACTAGTGCTGTCCAACTACCGCTCCGTGCGGAGACTTTTGCCTGCTGTGTATCCACCCTGGGCCGGTTCGCCTCTCATCATACAACCTGGTCATGTCGCTTGCACTACACAACCATATTGACATAGAGCTTAGTGTGGACACCAGATCAACACAAGCCACCAACCAACAGTGGCCCACTCTGAGAACCGATCCCACACTCCCTGTCGTCCAAGTAGCTAGACTTACAGAACTACGCCACTAGTTCCGACGACTAGAAATGCAATTCATTGAATTCGTATGCAAACTGCTGCGCTCAGAAAAGCCGTATTGGTAAAAACAAAATTTGCATTTGCAATAACACACTGCTTCATTGTTTCACGTGCAAGGAATTATATTCCACATTGTATTCAGCAAATACAACGCAAACAACAAAATCAAGCAACAACCTTATCAGTCACTTTTAAAAGCTGCACGTCGCCAATTTGTAGCTAATTCAGTTATCCGCGGCACGATTTTTCCACGACTATTTCCACCCCTATGCATGTATTTTTTGACAATTTCAATTGTCGCTTGCATTTCAAAAATTTCAACTTAATTGAGTTATCATTTTTGCGCGTTCGTATTTGCTTACTATTTAAATAATACATAAACTTAGAATTTAAATTACATTCATTAACAGAAAATTGCTTCAAGCCATTCAAAATCGGGCAATCAAAGATGAATTTCATGTCGTCAACCGGTGAATCGGGTTATTATATTCTTTCCTAGGTACCGTACCGTAAGGGGAAAATAGTTAAAAAGATCATTCTACAGTTTTGCATCTATCGTACCACTAAGCTCTCCACTGTTTCGTCCTTGACATCGTACAGCACCCGCACTAGAGTCGACAGCTTCTCCCGCATGTTGATCAGGTGTCCAATCTTGTTCACCACACTTCGCCCCACCAACTCATCATCTGTCAGCAGAGACGCCAAATTGCCACTCCTCGTCTCCAGGAACTTGGGAGCGTACGAGTTCAAAGGAGCTTCCAGACCCTCCGCCCAGTTGGCCAGGTCCTGCGCTTTGATGCAATCCAGGTTGTAGTGACTACACATCGCGGTGGCAGAACCCGACAAATGCGTGGCAAAGATAGTAGTCAATTAGAGCGTTATGACTTGCAATGCAATTTCAACTCCAAAATAACCAGATAGTCGCAAAATTCAATAATAGCACACAAAAAACCAAGTCATTACTGGCATTATATCATTCAAAAAGACTCAAGGGGTCGATAGACGACTAACATTGTCGCCGTCACGCGAGGAGAGATAGAAATTGATAGTTTTGGATTAGCTAAGCATGTAGATTCTGAAATGAAGTAAGTTTAGACTGTTGCTGGATACATCAAGACAAAGCAGATACACGGATAAAGTTGAGATCCCCTGATCGATTCGATTTAGAAAAAAAAGGACCAAGTTATGATCCTCCACCCCAGCGCTTAAATTATATTAAATTTGTTTAGCGCTGCATGTAAAATGCTCGATTCTGATTGGCTGAAAATTCCCAACTTAGAACCAAGTTGACATCCTCCCCCCTTAACACGTTTAGGGGGGAGGATGTTAACTTGGTCCGAAAAACGAAAACTTGCTGAGGGACTGCAATTTCATCCAATCAGAATTGAATATCTAAACTTAGCCAACAGTTGGAAAAGTCGGATGTGGTTAAATATTTCCCCCTTATTGCAATAGGGGGTGAAGCAGTTAACAAGGTACAAAATTCGGGGGAATTCGTTAAAAGGTACCATAGGGGGGGGGGTGGATATAGTTAACCAGATCCGAAAAGTCAAAGGCAAAGGAAACCAATTTACAACTTTCGAAATTCGACTCCGATGGAATGCTATACAGAGCTTTGGGAATGCCACAACGAAGCCACTTTTTCAAAAAAGTCCTTTCAGCCGAACTATATAGACAAAAACGAGCAGTCAGACAATAATCTAAATCAGCCAAACAATACTTATTGCAAAAAAAACAGGTCTCAACTGGAATCGAACTCGTGGGCTTTGTCGTCTCAAGCATGAGGGTTAGAGCAAATTCGAATCAAGCTGAACCATCGAGATACGGGAAGTAAGCCGACACAAATAGACTGTGCTAAAAAGCACAAAAACTCGAGTTTGCAAAAAAGGGCTCGGCCGGATTCAAACCGCAGGCCTTTGCAGTCTCACGCAGTTGTTTATACCTCTACGCCTAATGCGCCGAAAGGTTGATTGTATTTTAAGTTACAATCTATAATTACCAAGCGGTAAAAAGCCGCCAACACATGAACAAAAACCCTTTAAACCGGAAAAAAAATTCTGAACTTATAAAAAATGATAAGTCCCTTTTCCCCTCAGAACACACGCACGCACGCACACACACACACGCACGCACACACAAACAAACACACACGCATACACACACAATTTTCTCCGGTCGAAACGATGCAAAAAGAGGCCACAAAATTGATATTAATCAAGCCCAAAAATTATCAATACGATAAAGAGACAAAAAATGAAGAAAAAAATTGAAATTTTCTCAAATCAAGCTGGTAAAATTACAACCAATGGGAAAAGCAAATTTAAATTCGGACGAATTATTAAAAAGCAATTGGCAACTACAGTGAAATTTTTTTAAAGCTAAAAAAAAACAATTCTTAGATGTGGCAACAAAGCCGACAAAACAAGCGGATAAAAAACTAGACCGAAATTCTTTTGAAATATTTGCCGTTTGAAAAAAAAACTGGCCCGTTCAGATTTGAACTCAGGAACTATGCCGTCTCAGGCGTACTCTTTATCACCAGGCTAAGTATGCAAGAGACACCACAAAATTCTTTCAATTCTTTATGGACCAAGGTACCAAGGAGTCATGAGAACAAAGTTGTATACGGGGGAAACATCTAGTACCCGATTGCAATACCCTTGCCTATCACAAGGGTAACTAAGCGGATACTGAGCAGACAAAACTTGGGTAAACGACTTTGGTCCGAAAAAATTAGCTGTAAAACATTTTGAGCCAAAAAATTCAAGTTTTACACCCACCGCCCACCTGATTAAAAAATTTGGTGGCTCAAACAATGAATTCTCAGGCATCAGCCAAAACCATTTACAAAAACCTTGAAGCGAAAAAAGAAAACTTAAAACAAGAGTTGATTTACAAGTAACAATTAAAGTCGAATGGAACGGCCATTTAAAATGCAGACATGCCCAAAAAAAACTGTTGACAGGTACTCTGATAATCTATTGACAGCCGAGCTAATCTGTTGACAGTCGAGCTAACTGATTCAATGGTGTGGTTAAACTAATTTTTAACTAGAAAAAAAGTCTACACTTGAATTTGATAACGCTTGCTAATCGCAAGCGTAAAAAAGATCTATATCAGGTTGAAGCTCTTTGATTTTCAAATTCTGTTTACGATTTGCAATTTTTTCGTAATAATATCCTATTCAGAGAACACTGGATCATTAGATATTTTCAGCTGGGAATTCAGAACAGTAAACTGCATATTATTACAGAAAAATGTTGAAAAATAACCAAAAGTTAACGAAAATAACGAACAATAAGTTTGATTTAAAAAAATTGGGAGACAGGTAAAGCTGGAGGTATTTGTTTAAAATTTTTTGAATTTGTTATACCTATGCGGGATGAAATACGTAATTTAATTTCAACATGTCGACTTTGCCCAAAACCTGAGTCGTAGAGGAGTTAACTGGGATGATTGAAAGTTTTTGAGAATTTTTGAGTTTTACAAAAAATAAGGAGTCACCGTTTCTGCAGGAAAAATGCTCGCAACAAGTTTTTTCGATTTTGAACCCTTCATTTCATTTCACAATAGATAGTTTTTGAAAGTCGGAAGTTTTCTGAAAAAACGTCAAGAGTTCAATCCATAACTTTTTCCTGCAAAAGTTAGGTCCTAACCGCTTCAGCAGAAAAGATTCCCAAACTTGTTTTCTCGATTGAACAATCAACCTAAGAATTGGCGGGGTAGTTTTCGAGAAAAAATAAGAAGCTTCCAAAAACAGGGTCCAAGATTCAAACGCCAGAAATTTTCGGAAGGCCAGAACTTTTTTCCAAAAAGAATTAGGCGTAGGCGTTCATGCAGGCTTTCAACAACCTGTTCTTTCGATTAAACCCTTGATATCAGATTTGGCGTGATAAAATTTAAGGGTAGTAGTCAAGAAGTTTCCAAAACACGGTCAACAAATCAAAATATGACTTTTCCGAGAATCATAGCTTTTTCTGTAAAAAAAATTTAGGCGTAGCCACTTAAAATGAAGAGATTGATTTAAACTGTTATTTCGATTGAACTCAGATTTAGTTGGAAAATTTTCGAGAAGAGTCAAATACTTTCAAAATCGAATGAAAGAAGTTTTTTTCAAGGACCAGAATTTTTGTTTTAAAAAGGCTCTAATTTTTCATAGAGCACTACCCTTTGTTGGCAAGCCCGCGACACATTGCGAGTGCAGCGGTCACTATTGAAGATTTAAAAAAGAATTCTAACATTTGGCGTTAAGTTATTTATTTTTCGGTACTTGAGTTCAAGTTTAGCCAAACTTTCGGTGGCAGAATTGTCTGCATGCTCTCGGTTGATTTGTCCAAACTTGAAGCTTGCAAATCTTTGACCGAATATCCTAACCGCTAATTAAATTCGATCGCTTTGTAAAAATTGAATTAATAAACAAACCAAACGAAAAAACATAGCCAATATATAGTTGTGTAAATATCAAAAAATGCAAAAAAAACGAAAAAATGACTTCTTGAAAAAGATTAACTAAAAAAGATTAAGAAAAAAATTTGAAAAAATCAAAAACATTATTACTAACAACTCGAGATGTGAGGCCATTCAGAACGTTTCAATTTTAGAATTCCAACGCCAAAAGAACAATAGACGGAATAATTCAATGATGTCCGTTAAATAAAAGACAAAGATTCCGTCAAAAATGCTACCAGAGGCGAAGCAATGCTTTCCACTACCTGCGACACAACACAATGGAAAACTAGCAGAAAGAAAATGAGACGAAAGCTGAATAAACCAAAATTTTTATATCTTTGCCATAAGAAAATCAATTTGTAAAGAGATGACAACAAGAAAAATTGAAATTAACATTTCTATAGAACCAAAGCGTGTTAACCCAAAAAAAATTTTCATACAAAAGTTCCAAAAAAAATTATAAATTAATCCTCAAAAGACTCACACTTATTGGAAACTTTTTTCGCCTATCCAACGATGCCATATGATAGCACTAAGCGGATTAAATACAAACCAAAAAACAAGCAAAAAAATAACTAATTAAATTTGTATGAAAAAATTTCGGAAAATAAAATTCCGTTAAAATCTAGTAACTCAATTACCTCAAACAATGAAGCTTTAAAAAGGAAACTTAAGAATTTAGACGTGGGCTGAACCTACAAAAAGAGTCCGTGCTACGGGAACAGAGCCAACAAAAATGAACAGTCGGACGAAAGCAGAAAAGATCTGGTTTACAAAAAAAAAACAAGTCCCGCCCGGATTAGAACATCAAACCTTTGTCGTCTGAACTAGGTGGATAACCTCTACGCCAGATGCGCTGTGTGGTTGATTGATTTTGAATTTGATATGAAGCAAAATGGAACATCTGCGGAATCTTATTTAAAAAATTTTACGGTGAAAAACTTAGTACCAGGTTCCAACTACTTTGCTTATCGCATGGGTAAAAAAGTTGTCCACAACGTTCATTGAAATTTAAAAACATATTGAACTTTTTTTTTCATCATACAAAACAAGACACGAAGCAACTTAGTAGCTTTCTTCATTTTACTTGAAAAAATTGATCGATAGGAAAATGTATTGAGAAACTTAGCCAACTGAAAGTTGGAAAACAGTTATAAAAACTGACATTATAGGAAAAATTTCACGTTTTTATATTTTGAAAAAAAAAAACATTTAAACATGCGAACTTTATAGGAAAAATTTCACGAACAATTCATGTTTGAACCTTTTTTGATAAAATTAACCTAATTTGGGAAAACTGGATCAAAAGGTTTTTTTTTGCTGGGTGATCTGATAAAAAATTCCATTTTCGGTATTAGAAGTCATAAACATCGGTCGAATCTTGACTGAAGGGGTTTCACTATGACATATCACTTGACCCCATCTGACGATAACAAAGTTTCTAAGTTCGCTAGGAGAAAAGTAATTAAAAACATACGATTACAGTTTGTTACCAATTCGTGATCGGAACAACATTAACTGACGCTAATTAGCACCACTCCTTATTGCTACGCTCAGACTCCTTTACTGCGAGCGCCCACAAAAAATACTGACCTTCAGTAGCGGATTTAGTGGGGGCGCTATTTCTAGCCATTTAGTGGGGGCGCTATTTTTTTCAGTGTAAACAGCTGGAACACGCAAACACAGTCAACTATAATTTTTAGACACAAAAACATAATATTTTCATTTTTTTCATGTTTTGTGCTTTCGGTGTGTTGCATTTTCTCGGATCTTTCTGGTGTTTCCCTAGTAAAAACAACTTTCTCTAATGTGACGTCTGTTTGGGATTTTTTAAAATTATCGACTAAAATAAATCTAATAAAACAAACAATTGTAAGCATCCGTCAAGGCCCTGTTGCAAGCCAGACCTTTATGATAACCACCTGCCTCGTCTGATTCAGTTGTACTCACTACATAATTCAAAATATCCACTTCACTTTCTTTCTCTTTCATCATCGGAACTTGGGGTCCGTAATTCATGATTTCAACTTCTGTATAATTGTAACAAATTTCATTCTCAACCACTAATTCAGCTGGCTCTATTTTTTCGTCTACAAACTTTGTTGATTCTTCCTTTTCCAGTAGTTGGTTCACATTTTTTTGATGTTTGTTCAAAATTGCTTCGACAGGCAAGGACGATGTTTCTAGCTCTTTCAGTAGATTCTGCTTGTTACTCTTTCTAACTTGGTTAAACATCATTTCTTCCATCGCTACTTTCCGTCTCAACTCTTCAAAAGTTTCCCTTTCGATTTGAATCTGTTTTCTAATTTCCTCTTGGTCCTTACTGAATTTCTTATAACGGTTCTTGGCTATTGTCTTCTGATACTTTTCTTTCAAAGAGTCAAGCTTCGACTTTGTGGCTATAAGCTCACTACTATTTGTCAAGTTAAAGACAATATCTTCAACCTGCTCCAAAAAATCATTGTATTCTCGCAATGAACTGAAATCCTCCTCGTATAAATTCAACTCCTTCGACACTTTCTTGCGAATTTCAACTTCTTTATCAACTGAGGCGTCTTCAAACACTTGACGTCTGAAGCTGGAAAGAGTGAGGTTTGTTTTGCACTCGTTACAAGGATGTGGTGCCCGAGAAAAGTAGGCATTCATGCAATGTTCACAATAAGAATGACCACAGGTTCCAATAAACAGTCTCAAGTTCGGGTTCCTGTACTGTAAAAAAAATTACAATGAAAGTTCGTAAAGCTCAAAAAAGAAATTCTCCTGAATACTAGTAAAAAATTCTCAATGAATTAAGTTCGAGTTTTTTGGCACTAATAATCGGATTCTCTTAGCGACCTTGTAATGAGCTAATGTTGACAATTTCAGGAACACTGAAGGAAAAAAAAGGCGCAGCAAAAATTGCAAGCGATATTCAAACTCGTTTCCATCGGTTATTGCTAAAGGATGTACCCTCTCAATAACTAAGCCAATAATGATATTCGGCACTTTTTAAAAGTTTCGAAGCATATTTTTCTAAGAATATCGCGAGAAAACAACTTTTTCCCAGCATACAAATTGTTGAGTATGAACACGTATAACTAAATCACTGAAGTCAAGGCTGGCAGCTCCTATATGGCGGCGTCAAAGTTTTCACTCTAAAACATTTGCAAGTGACAAAACCTGTATCTTTGAAAATGCACACTGACCTTCGTTGACCCACAGTTTGGGCACATAATATCATTGTCCATTTTGATGAAAAGATTTCCACTTCAGAACCACTTCGCTTTCAGATCATTCGAACCTCGTAAAGATAAGGTAATACATTGGTCAGATCTAGTTGCTCTTAATCATATTAAGATAACTTGCCCCGTTAAAGAACCAGGAAAGAAAGATAATCGGTACTAGTTTACTTGTTTGGTTCCGTGACAAAACTAGTTTAGATGATTGGTCCCGCCTATTTTCTAAAAAAGATACAGCACGGGATTTGATCCTACGCCTTTGGGCTAGTAACCGGATTCGCTAGGCCCGTTTTGACATCAATATGGAGAAATTAAACTACTTGATGTTTGAATTAGCCACATACTGTACCTCTGTTTTTATTATAGACCACAGCATTTTTGAGGGGCCAAACAAGTAAAGTAGTACCCGATAATCAGCAGTACGAAGCAGAACGGAGGTTACGTGGTAGAAACATGACAAACGAATATTCATACTCGTCAGTAAGTAGACAAATGCTGTCGAGTTCAAGCATCCGTAGCGAGATACTGCATCCAATCTAAAAGACAATAGATTATGCACACACGCTATGTTACAATGATATTAACCAATCAGAATCGAGAAAAGAAAGCAAACGTACGAAATAAACAATTAATTATTTCGTACGTTATCTTTCTCATCTTAATCCTGATAGGTTAATATTATTATCTACTTATTGACGAGTATGAATATGCGGTTGTCTACTTACAGACCGCACTGCTAAACGGACATTCTTAGATAAAAAGAACCGTGCAAGTTTCTAGTTGCTTAACCCTTTCACAACTTTTTCTTCTCAGCGTATTTTTTTCGACTTTCAATGTATTTAGGTGAGTGCCTTTCCGTTTGAATTCTCAGAACTTCCAAACAATTGAGACAGAAATAAAACAAAGGACAGCCCCTCGCAATCGAAAATTATGCCGCATTTTGGAACAAATTGTTCAGCAGAGGCGAAACGTAGATTCACAATACTTGAGATTCATTGCACATAAATAGCATTGCAAGCAATCGAATGGAAAATTAGACAGAAGCCACGAATTCGAAAAAAAAAATATTTCCAGTGGTAACTAGGCAGACAATGTTTGGAAAAATGCCGTTGAGATGAAAAAAGTTGCGAAAATTTTCTGCTGTCAAAGAAATTTTGACTCACAAAGTGGTTACGTCCATCGCAGCACAAAAAAAAATATGATTACGCTATTTGAACGACATACTATCAGGTAACTAAACTGATATAACATAGGCCGAAACTGTTTAAGCCTGAAAACCTTTGAAACTAATCATTAAAACGGAACTTTTACACAGCGGCGTAGCTGAGCTCCGCACAACTTACGAAACAACTAGACCTATCAAAATGAATGCAGATAGTAGCGAAAAATTATGCCCAGCCTAAACAATAGATTGCAAAATCAGCATCGGAACAAAATTAACCAAATGGTGACAAGGTAGAAAACACCTGAGCAGCAACTCCTCAAACCAAACCTTTTAAAAATCAAACTAAATTAAAATTTTCACGTCCACCTTCCCCTCATAACACACGGGAAGCAAAGAAATTTGAACGCAGAGGCGAAGCTGCACTTCGCAAACACTAGCAATAAAATGACAAAGAAAGCAGCTATATAAATTGCAATAAGAAAAACTAGAAAATAGCCTCGAACTATAAAAATTTCGGCTACGTCTCGGATTCTAACTGCGACCCAGAAATTATTCGTCTCACGCACTAACCACTCAGCCAACACGGACGCTTAATAAATCACAAAAACTAGCCACAGATAAAGCAGAAAACAGATGCTAAGAAACTTCCAAATGCTACAGATCGTGATTATAGCAAAAGCGCTACCAAATAAATAACAAATTTAATACAACTTTTGGTTGCGAGTAAGGTTGGAAAAAAAAGAAGGCTCGTTTTAATACACTACACTCGAAAGTGTAATTATTTGTAGAACAAGCTAACACTAGATGAGTCGGGGGAAAAACCCAGATTGCAATACAAAACTTGATACTCAATTACTTGAATCTTCACAATTGTTCGATACCGCACTCTAAAATGGTTAAAAACTCTTTTAAGGATTTCAGGACTTTTAGGGAATTTTTTCAAGAAAGTCCGTACTTTGGATGAAAAAGCCGACAAAATTAACGACACAATAATCCAACAATTCACGTTTTTCCAAAAAAAAATTTTCAAACTCAATAAACATAAAAATTAAGATTCGAACACTAGACCAAAAAGGATGGCTTGGAAGTTGGTGAGGTTCCGTTATAATCCAAGGATAATTCTTACAGATTTGTCAGAAAAATTATTTATGGGAAAAAGTCTTGTTTACAGAAGGAAAAGTCTAGTTGCCGATTATTACACATGCACTTCAAAAGCAAGTGCAAATCAGTCGGCTTCAAATAGTTTAAAATTTTTGAACAAATTAGTACTTTCATATTAGCCCCGGCGCTACCCACTGCTGGGTCATTCATTCTGGAGGGATGGGTGTCATCATTGGTTTTCGACGTAGTCGTCTCCACAGTGAGGAGGCGGATGACATTAGAAACCCTTCGACCGGGACCGAAGAGAAATTTCAACGCACAACCTTTGTTTTAAGAGCATTGCGACTTAGTTTTGTTTTAAGAGCATTGCGCCTTACCCGCTCGGCCAAGGCCGCTCAACAATCAGGTTATTCAGTTATGACAATAAATCGCAACACTAAAAAAGACTGCAGCAGGCAAGACGCTCAATTTCACTGTTTGAGTAAACTTATGAAGGAAAGCGTTTGATTTTAGTACATGAAAAAACTTTAATGAATATTTTAAAGTTAAATGAAAGCAGTATCAGCACCCAATCGTTTTTGATACAAGTCTATCGTAATCCAACACCGAATTAATTCAAAAACGCTGAGAAAACCTTAAAACAAAATGCATCGATAAAAAAAGGTCCATTGGTTGAGTTTTAGATGTCTAACAACTTGGTTGTTGAACGAATATAATTCAATTGCTCTTCTAGCTCCATTTCTTTTTGGTACTCCTGAAGAACTCGATCCAGTTTGTCTCTAAGAACAAAAGATTCAGCTGGCTTTTTTATGTGACAGTTTCGGGCATTGAATTATTGGCTATTATTCAAAAATTGAAAAAAAAAACTTCTGATCTTCAGTTTTATTTGATCAGCTACCGATCCCAAAGCCTTACAATCTTCTAAGCATTTATTGAATGGAGCAAGTCGAGTGGTCAATCATTGGTTTTACTCGAAATATTCAATATTGAAAAATTTTGTCTTCGTGAAATACTATTCAGCTAACAAAAACACTAAATAAAATCCTCCCTATTAAGGACCCTATATACATACCAAATATATCCCCATATATATATCCCAGCATTATGAATTTGAAGGAACACTATATGGTGCGAATATGTGTATATAACTTTTGCAACCAATAGGTGGGAAAGATAGCAATTGGAAGTATCATAGGTCACTTTAACAAAAACCTCACGTTATCTTCGAGAGCTGAATGTTCATTTGATGTATTGAGAACCCGGTGTCCGTAACACTATTTTCAGAGGACCAAAACTGGTGGAAACTGCTCAGCAACTGCGCACATTCTTCTAGTGTAATCCTTAAGCTTCGATGATGCGCCGCTTCAATGTAAATATGAGCCGTTTTTGGAGCTAATAGTAGATCTGCCACGACACTCTCTAATGATGATACTACATTCAAACATGCAGATATTCTTTCAAAAACCTCTGTTTTATCTTCTGAAAACAGCGCAACAGCCGGACCTATAGCAGAAGCCAGCTGCAATCGGGAATTTATTCGTTTTTCAGTGCAGAATGTACTATTTTGTTCGCTCCAAGTATTCAAACTTTGCATGAAATGTTCAGAATTAGAGCAACAAACTTTTCCGGGTTCAACTGATCTCACGCCAAAAGAAAACAAGAATGACGACAAACTATCTTCCCACGGATTCATAATAGCGCTTAAAACATGAAAAACAAAAAATAAGATTTCAATGCATCAAGAGTCACAAGAAGCAAAATACTAGAACAAAATGAAAAATTATTAAAATGTGAATTCGAACGTTTTCGAAACTATGTCCATCGTCAGGTTAATAAAATTGATTTAAAGTGATTTACAGACAATAAAACATCATAAAAGACCATTTATTGGTTCTAAGCAAAAATTAAATTCTTTCCACCAATCAAAATTTAGCATTATTACGTAAGAATTTCGTAATCTTTAGTTTTCTTTAATTTGGAATGCGTTAAAACTGTAAATTCAAACGAACGTTTTCGCACATTTTTGTGCATCTTCACGTTTTAAAAATTCTAAACTATCTGTACAAAATGATCAAAGATCATAAAAAGTGTCATACACATCATTATTGCAAAATTTAAAAAATTCAACCAATCAAAACTTAACAAATATTACTGAAATTATGTAACAACTACTATGTAACAATTTTAAACATTTTGTCACAAATTTCTGTGAGTTTTCACTTTTTTGTTTTTACAATTCCGTTTTGTCGTTAATTTTTAAGCTAACATGCAAGTTATTTCAAAATTTTTTGTTTCAGCCAGGATTTTTCGATTCTAAAACTACATGTAACAGTCGTCTACTTAAGTCACATATGAAGTTAAAGAAAAATACGCCCTATAACCATTGGCTCAAGAGTCAGGGACACTATCTCTTGTGTTTGTTTTTCTACCTCAAGCGATCGGAGCCAATTCGGTTCACTTGCGACTTGAGACTAAAACCCGCGTTACAGCTGAAAGGCCACTACCAAAATACCCCCACTCTAGAAAATAAGAATGACAAGAACGCCGTTAAAAACAGGGTCGGAATCTTATGTATAGTGACTTTTTATTAGACAGTGGACCTTTGATCCATTTCAGATGGATCAACATAACAACTCTCCGTAACTCAACATAACAATATAAAACACACTCAAGAAAATTAAATTAGGCACTGACATACCAACACAACCTATAGAATCGTAATAACTAAACTTTAAAGCATCTCTAGAAATGATTGGTTAATTAAATTTAACTCGAGAAGTTTGAAATAAGTGAGTTTTAACTCAAGAAACAAGTTTTTGATCTGGACCATTGGGCAGCTTCAGCTGTCCACTTTTCCACCGAAGGTTCACTCAGGTCCACTCTAGTTTACTTCCTCTCCACTCTCGATCGCTTTCCGTCTTCTGCCAAGAATCAGACAGCTCTACTCTCGTTCGAATTATGAATTGGAAATTGCGAATAGCATTTTCCCGCTGCTATTTTTGACTACTTTCCCCCGATTGTAGTTCGAGTCTACTGATCTTAATTTTCTGATATTTTCAGTTGTCGCGAGAAACTTGAACATGACATGTTCAATTCGATTTTTTTGAAAAATTGCATTTCACCCAAAAATTATGACCATACGTTTTCTCAAGGTCAAACTTCCAAATATGACCGACTGGCACATACTCCCCGGACTCAAGGTCGATGTCCTCTTCGTGTGTCTTTGTCTGTCAGTGATCCCCAGAATGTTGGGTGCGTCTTAAGATACAGTGCCAGTGGTCATTTACAGAAGTTTGCAGCAGATTTAACATCAATTCACAACCATGCAAAATTGTCACATTATCGCTAAACAGCAATCAAAATCTGCATACACCTGCATCCCAAATTTCCGCATTGTAAGCTAATGATTAAAATTTCCTTTGTTTTACCCATTCAAAAATTGTCAAGCAGCATTTTGATTTATATAGTAGATATAATATACAAATAACAATAATTTTTTATTAAAATTTCTTTTCCGTGCCCTCAGGTTTCATTCGAGTTCAGCCTCAAGCCCCTTTTTCTTGTCCCCGCTCACGACTCAAGAACCAATCCCCGAATACCCTCTTCAGTTTGTGCCCCTTGTCTTCGAGGTACTGGGTCCTGACACATTCGACATCGTTATCTGCCCTGCCAGTTCTTCTTAGTCATCGGAATTGATTACGATCTCTTCCCATGCCTTCAGCTGTTCGTAGGCCCGCATCCATTCCCTTTGCTCTTGTAGTCTTTTCGCCTGATTCGGCAGACCCTTCACTTTAAATTCTCTATTCATGCAAAAGGAATTGTGCAAGCTCAGGCTCACGTTCTTTGCCTACCCTCCTCTAATATCGATTCCCTCGCTTTGGTGTTATCTCGAGACACTCTACCACTTCTTTTCCAACCCGTGGTTATCGCATTGCGATGGGTTAGCAAGGATCTCATGAAAATTTCCGGCCCTATCTTGGTCAGGAACTGTCGACACTCCTTCTGATGCTTATTCATGTGATCCTTCGTCACCGTGTACAATCAGGACGTCATCGTCGCTCGAAACCTTCGGAAGAATCTTATGCGACTCCACACGTGCCTCTCCTCCATAGGTATAGAGAATATTTTGCACGCAGTCTCAAACAACTCAAGCCTCCGGTTGTAATCAATGGCATGTATTGATTCCGCTGTTGGTGCCCTCGACTCTCAATATTTCGTCACGTTTTCGTCGATCCATCGCAACGCCAGCATCGAGCTCACCACGAAAAGGCTGACCTTCAGCTGATGGTCGGGTAACCCGACTAACCGAATTTCTTCCACTAATATATCAAGCAGAGGTTCGAATGCTCCGGATACCACACTGTCTGTGCCAGGCAGTGGCATGGGCAGTCCTCATGTGTCAGCTTGACACTCCGGAGGTTGCGTTCTCCCGAAGCTTCCAACATCGGTTCAAACTCCATCATCTTCTCATGTGTCACGTCATTTTCTTCCATGGCTGGGGCACTATTCATCGCTTTCCCGATCGTGTTCTGTCTCTCGAAATCACTCGTGTGTTCGCTTTCTAAGCTCAAGAGTTCCTCCCCCCAGATCTCACTCAAGTTCTCTCTTTGATCACCTGGCACAGCTCCCGGGATCTTCTTCAACAGTCTATGTGAGTGATGCGACATTTGAGCCAGGCGTACACACTTGGGTATCGAGAAAGCTTTGACAATCAAGACCCTCTGACTGGTTTCCTCCAACATCGCCAAGTGTAATGGGTAGTGGCTTCCACACAGATTGGCCATTACCGATCCCACCAGAAATTTCGCATTCATTGGCAAACTGTAGGCTTCACTCACGGGAAACC